CTTACATACTAATAGAATGATGTTAATCTAACACTTACCTGCAACATTATTTCTACATAGCAACTTGGATCCAGGACATAAAGGTATGGATACAATGACATACCTCGTTGACCTACTTACATACTAAAAGAATATGTTAATCTAACACTTACCTGCAACATTGTTTCTACATAGCAACTTAAATCTAGGACACAAAGGTATGGGTACAATGACATACCTCGTTGACCTATTTACATACTAAAAGAATGATGTTAATCTAACACTTACCTGCAACATTATTTCTACATAGCAACTTGAATCCAGGACATAAAGGTATGGGTACAATGACATACCTCGTTGACCTATTTATATACTAAAAGAATGATGTTAATCTAACACTTACCTGCAACATTATTTCTACATAGCAACCTGGATCCAGGACATAAAGGTATGGGTACAATGACATACCTCGTTGACCTATTTACATACTAAAAGAATGATGTTAATCTAACACTTACCTGCAACATTATTTCTACATAGCAACTTGGATCCAGGACACAAAGGTATGGGTACAATGACATACCTCGTTGACCTATTTAAATACAAAAAATAAAAATTTTCACATTTGAGAAAGACACCAATGATGATGAACATGAATTAACTCATTTAATATATTCCTCATTACATTCATTCTCTCATGTAAAGAATCACAGCCATGGACTTGGTTAATTTCAGCAATTAGGAATGTTACAAGTAAGATACCAGTAGTAACAGTGTATTGCATTTTAAGTGGAAATGTTAAAAGTAAGGTGCTAGTAGTAACAAATGATGAGTAATTAAACTTATCACTCCAGGAAATGGCATGCTAAGAGGTTTATAAGATGGGAGTGAGCCCATTAGAGAAAAATCATAGTTCAAAAACAAAGATCTTGAGAATGTGTGCCCCCTTGATGAAAAATATAGGATACCACCGTGGAATTGTCGGAATGGATCCTGACTACTTTCCCCTTCAAGAGAGACAGACCTTGAACTACAGCTTGGTGTACAGCAAGTAGTTCGAGAATGTTGATGTGAAAAGAAGATTCATAGGCTGTGAAAATACACTGGAACTCCTGACCATGGATATAAGTGCCCCATCCTTAAGAGGTGTATTGTGAACAGATGGATCTCGGGACAAGGAAGTAGAATCGGTACCCCCAATAGTAGTGTTGTTCCGATCAAATCACCACTCAAGATCTGAGATGTTGCTCCTGAGTAAGAAAACTGGATTATCCAATAAATTGGAGTTCATGATCTATTGGTCATGCAGTGACCACTGAAGGGACCTAATATGGGCTCATCCCAAGGGAATGAGAGATTCGAAGGATGCCCATATCCCCAAAAGAGAGAGACAATCATCCGCTCAGTAAGAGAAGGAGACGTAAGTAAAAGCCTGACTGCTCTTTCCATAGCCTTATAGTCTTATGGTAGTCGGCTGAGCCCGACTTAAGTACGTGTTGAAGAAGACACTCAGATGGACAAGGTATTGAGTTGGTAATAAAATGGTACTTTGATAAGGAAGCCTGCCTTTGTGGCTTCTGAAAGAAGAATCAGGGTATGTTGTTCTGCCAACTAATGAGATTAGTCCAAAAGTAGCCAATCGTTCATATAATGATGTGTGCACAGGCCCAAGGAATGCAGGTGGCTAGAAATGGCTTGTATAAGGTGCTGATGCAAAGCCAAAAAGCAGAGCTCTGAACTGCAGTGCTTAAATCTTATGCATAAATTGTAGAAATCAGCAGGATGACTCTACTATGGGAATGTGAAGATATGCATCAGTAACATCAGACATGGTCATCCAAAGATTGGGTTAAAAATGCCATTGTAGGTTGAGAAAATATTCCATTGTAAAACGAGGAGGATTCAAAAATTGATTGAGTCGAGACAAATCGATAATTGGACGACAATCTTCGGTTTTCTTGGGCATCACAAAAGGACAGGAATAAAATCCCAGAAGAACAGGATTGATCCTCTCTTCTGCCCTTTTGTCTAACAACTCTCTTATGGCCTGAGAATGAAGTTCCACTCACCCCGGATCTGTTGAAGGTGAAAAAATAACAGGTTGGGTGGATAATGTAGGTGGATGTTCAACCCTGACTCCAGAACATGGAGTACCTATGGATCCGTGGTGAAGGAAGTCCAGATGTTGAGAAATCGATGTAATCGTCCTCCCATGCCCCCCACCCCCCCCAGAACATGGTAGTCACCGATGTTGGCAATGATCCATCCTACCAGAAGATCTGCAAAGATAAGGATGAAATATATTGTGGGAACAAATAGAATGAAGGCCTGAAGTTGGGCATCAGAAAACATGATGAGCCGACAGTCCCAAACTACCAGCTGGAACCAAAGAAAAACAAGAGGCCAATGACGATAAGAAAGAATGTAAACGGGCAGCATCTATCCATGATTCCAAGGTCTCTGGAACTCCAGCAAACAACAAGGGATGAAGAAAAGGGGCCTCCCTTAATTCCTGGAAGGCAAAAAACTGTAGACGAACACCCTCCGACTAGGCATCTCTACCCAATAAGTCCCAACAACAAACAAGCCAAGAAACTAAGAAAAGAACTGAAGCCAACAATCTGACCATAGTAGCCATCAGCAAAGGTCCTAACACATCCTCAAACTGGTGAGGAGAATGTTGATAGGCTTCTGACAAAAGTTGGAGCGAAGATAAATATCTGAGAACTGTTGTGAGAGTCAGATGTATCCAAGAAAATTGTAATCTGTTTAAGTTGATCACAGGTTGCAATCTGGAGCCCCACATGTCATTCAGAATCTAAGTATACCTCTTCCTGGTGGTGGTAAGCCATCTGATAAATGTGGGGGACATGGCATAGCTATCCTGTTACGTAACTGACTGGCAAATCTCCCAGCATGAACAGCAATATCTGGAGAAGGTGGAAGAATTAAGTAATCTCTTGCCATCCTTTCTGTCAACAAGATAGAAGTAGACTCAAAAGCAATCGGGGGTACCCCCAAAACCTGGCAGTCATACTATTTTCAGCTGTAGTATGTTGAATTCTCTCATTGCTCCTAGGGCAGAAATAGCATTTAAAAAATGTGTGGAAATCAATGTTCTGGCTGGTGAAGGCTGCTCCATGTGACAAATTAAGGTAGACTTTCAAGTTTCAGCAATAGCTGAACTTTTGATTACAGAAGTAGTCAAAAGTTCAAGTTCCCAAATCCCCTCAAAAGTGATATTAAATAACTCTTACCAATGACCTAACTGTAAAGCTACCTCCAGAACATTAAGACATGTAACAGAACAGTGTGGCTTCAGTAGATGCATAGCTGATAAAAAAAAACATATTTTAGGAGAGATAACCAAACCAAATGGTTGAAATGATCATCATATTTCAAACAATGGGATGAATAAAGTGGGAGAAGGTTTTCTCTGCAGATGATTCCCAAATTCAAAATGACTGGCAACATTCAATGATAGTTTGATTAAAGGCAGATAGGAGAATGGTATCACAGTCAATGTGAAGGGACTAATACAAATGTGGGCTGCATCTCTGCCAATAGTGTTGGAGATTTACACAAAACTGATGGCACCCTAACTGCTGACAGGCACAAACAGATTCTTATTTATCATGTCATTCCCTCAGGAACAAGACCTATTGAACAGGGATTCACATTCTAGCAAAACAGTGTTGATTACAAGTATGCAGAAAATGTGGTGAAATGACAACTAAAGAAGAAGAAGAAAAAAAAAAAAAAGAGATTAATATAACACTTGTAACCACAGCCCAACATGCACAAGTAGTGATATGAATGTTATTAGGGCTTTATGGGCATATAAGAAAACTGAAAAAATCAAACAGCAATCATACAAACTGTGTGAATTTTAGGCAGTAATACATAAATACAATGTTTCACAGTCATGTGAGCAAAAAAGTAAGATGTAATACTCAAATACAAAATATTAGTGAAATGTACAACTTACTTGCATGCTTGTCTTTTGTATTAACTGTTTAAATAAAGTATTACACTAATGATGGTTTCACCATTTAGTTATAATTATTCATTGTTTGTAACTGTTGTATATGTTTCCATAATTATTTCTAATACTTTATATTTCAAAAACATCAAAATAATAAAATATCTAAATCTGACTCTGTGCCTGGTTCCTTTGAGCTTGGAGATTTTGTTCAAAGACTTTGTTTAGCACTTCCTTCCATTCCTGTTCACATTCCTTCAACTTTTCTCTCTGAAACAGCAAAATCATGCCAACTTAGCCTCATTTCTTATCAATCATTTAATAATTAAAATGCAGGAAAATGTTTCAATTTCATTTACTACTTATTTGAATTTACTTCCATTATGTAATTTTTACATTTCAAAACATATCTAGCTACATAAATTTATTAATATTTGGATATCACTTTTATCTTCCAGTGTTTAACGTTTGTTGAATTATCTCTTTCAGCACGGGCTCAGCCCCTGGGAGTGACCTTGTAACCATTTTCTACTTGTTATAGTTTTCATGCCATAACTTTTAAATTAGTAAGTGTATGTTAATGAAATTTGGCAGATAATCAGTAAACATTAAAATGCTTTCATACACAAAATATCAAATTTTTAAAGTCTTAAGGTTTGCAAAGCAATGTTATTCTCGTGTCTTTTGTTTTCTTTCTACATGTTGCCTATCCAACGTGCAAAGTAAATTTCATTTTAAGATTAAAAATACTTTTATGTATGAGAAAATTTTCAAATTTCACAATCAAAATCTTTATAATGTCCAGATAGTTATCAAATGTTTCTTAAGAAAAACCTTTATATTTTATCTGTTATTTTCAGTAACGATTCTCGGTACAGATTCGGTAGATTTGACCAATCTTGTAACCATAAAAAATTAAGAAATAAATATAAATTATCTGTCTTTCATTCTAGAATGACAACAAAGTATAACACGAAAACATAAATGTTTAGACTCAATAACTTAAATCTCATAACATTATACATTTATATTATATTGACCTTTCAACCATGCCTGGCTAACAATACAGAAGTTACAGTGACAAGGCACACGTGGTCTCATGTTACCGTATCCAATAATATAAAACTGACCTTTAGTCTTTACAAAGTGACCTGTCTTGGTTGTGTTTTAGCACACTAATATTTTGTAAAATACAGTCACATTTCAATTATTATACATTATATACGTTTATAAATTATTACAATTTATATATATATATATATATATATAT